ATGCTTTTTAAAGGGCTCGTCTAGGAATCGTCAGGGGGGGGGTTGGTATGTTTGCTCGAGTGTGGCTGGGCTATAGCGATAGGAGCCCTGCTGTGGTCGCTTCAATAAGGGCTACCGCATGTGGGGGCTCGTTGTGTCTGTCTGTTTGGTTATCCGTCTATGTGTCATGAGTCCCACTATCTGCATTTGGGTTTTGCAAAAAGTAAGACGGAGCAATTTTATGTCCGTGTAGTGAAGGATTTGCCGGAGCAGTATTAAAGCTAACATCAGGTACGTGTCAGGAACGATCAGTAAAAACAAAAAAACAAAACACAACAGAAGTTTGCAGGAGTCTCAAACTGTGTAAAACCTGGGTGGTGGGTTAGTGGTGTCCCCTTGGGGTATGTGGTCTCAAGTGCCTCAAGTCAGTGGACTGGCGGGTGATGGTCCCAGAGGTTTCCTCGGGGTGAACTCTCGTATGGTGGCTGGGTTTATCCTGGACAGTCCCGATCTTTTTGTGAGTGCAGCTTGGAGTATGCCCGCAGATGTCAGGAGTGATTCCAATTCTTGGTAGCTCTGCGCTTTATGTGATGTCCCGTTATAAGTGAACGATACAGCTCGCGGGGTTCCCCATCGGTAGGGCAGCTCCCTGGCGCGGAGGTGCTGTAGTAGCGGCTGCAGTTTTTTCCGCCAGGTAAGTGTACTCTTGGTGATATCCGGGAAAATCATTAGAGTGGTGTCCTCAAACGACAAGGGAGTTTTACCCCCTAGCACAGTTAGGAGTGCCGCTTTGTCTGATAGGCTCTGAAATCTTAAAATGAGGTCCGCGGATGCGGTTGCTGGAGCTCGGGTCGGCTTTGGTATTCAGAACATCCCGTTGAGCCTCAGGGACTTCGCCTGTTTTGGTGGAAGCAGGGCACCCAGGAGGCGCCTGATGTAGTGGGGTAGATTGGGGAGGCCCACGGAGTCAGGTATCCCTCAGATTTTTTGATTTGGTCCTCCAGTGCATCCAGACGGTTTGCTGTGGCATGCTGCTGTTTTTCTAGATCGGCTACTTGTTGTTCTACCGTAGTTAACCTGGAGTCCTGGGTGCTCGTGCAGGCCTCAAGCTGAGTGATTTTCAATTGGGCTCCTTCTATGGCCACTTTATAGTAGGCCATGTCTGCAGCCAAGTCTTTGCGTAATTCAGCCAGTATTTCCTTAAGCTGGCTTACAGTGACCGGGTCTCCGGGTGTTTTGGGCACCGTGCTATGTTTTGGTGCAGGCCCAATGGACGCTCCCTCCATAAGGTCTGTGTCAAAGTCCTCTGAGGAGTACGAGGCAAGATCGTCCTCCAGCGTCATCTTGGACCATGCGGCCTGTTGTGTGTTCCGCAGCATTTCCGTTTTAGTAAGAAAGTCAGCCGTCATGGGAAGAAATTTGTAGATCGAGTAGGTATAAGACCATATTCATGATATACACCATGTCATATGTTTGTGGAGCTTATATACTGGGTGGGTTGGGTAGGAGGGAGGCCAAAACATAGAAACATGAAAAGGAAAAAGAAAGTATGTACAGTTAACATTGCATAGTAGGCATATTTGTTGACTGAGAGGGAAACTAGAAAGAGGGTTCCCCATATATTCAGTCTGGGGCGGGGTTAGAATGTTTTCCATCGAAACTAGAGATTCGACCGTATCATAAGCATTGAAGTATATAGCATACCTTAGTAGTCAGGAGAAGTAAAGAATAGTCTCTAAGTTAGAACTGGTTGTTGCAAGGACATATATACATAAGAAACAATACATGCATTATACATATTGTAACAGGGATAACCACGCAGACCAGATATTCCCTGTAGGAACATTCCCTGTGTCCATATGATTCTGCATGTGTACACAGTTCATATATCTTGTGGAGTGTAATCTCACAGCCCTTTCTTTATAAATGTTGGGAGGCTGTCCAAGCCTCGTCCCCTTTTATTTTAAGTCTTTGGAGTTTTATGTTGTTATTTTGTTGCTATTTTTTTGGGGGGGGATGATATTTATTTATTTATTGTTATTATTATTCATTTTATTTTATTTTTCTTATTGTAAATATAACAGAGGGGTCGAAGGCACGTTAGCCGTAACCAAACCCCAGGGTTCCCAATCTCTATAAGGGTTACTGAGAGGAGAGCCCTGTTTTGAGAGTAATGGCCATTGTGGTATGGTTTGGGATTGCACCTGCATGGGGTATCACTTTACATGATGTATTGGAAGCTAATGTCCGCTACCCCCCGCATGCCTGCTTATCAAATCATAAAGGTGGGGAGTTTGGCCCCTAGAAGGTTGTGTTAGGATTATAGTACGGGTCTCTGGGTATATCCCTTAGGCATTCCGGTAGAAGGGGCTGTAGCAGAATAGACCATGGTACCATATTCTTATACCGGCTCCGGGCTGTCTGTACCCCCATTTCCCCCTCCTCAACTGTTCAAGACATACTCCCCTTACTTTGAACTCTAATCTTTTCCCCTGTTTTACCTGGCCGTTCGCATAAATTGATTCCCTTAAGTGTTTCCCACTGTTTTGTTCGACAACCAAACAAACTACAGAACTGTAGAAACCCAGATAGGGAGAGTGCCACTCATTAACTCCTTTCACACCTCCATAAACTGCAACCACATGAACGTTCTAAGCGGTTGGCTTGGTGGTTGAACACTTGGCGACGGCCATCTTTAGACACGAACAAAGGCAGCGGAACTAAAATCGGACACTCGATGGCGCAAACACTGCTGGGACTTCCACCTCCAGCTAAGTCCGACTAGAAGTACACGAACAAAGCGCCGTTTGGTTGAAGTAATCTAATGAACCAGATACATTCACTAACGCTATGCACGAACAGCTCCGTTCGACTATTTGAACATTACTTGCCTGTTAAAATAGACCGTCCGCACAGTCTAATTCTCTGGAACTATAATCTATAATCTATTTTGGGCATGAAACCATGCATGGGGTCGGTCGAAAAGTGACTTCCAATGAATTTGTGAACCCCTGCTCTGATTTTTGGGTATGTTGTTCACCCAGATCAGAGCTACCCGGGGATGTGCCATTTAAGGGGATATGTTATATTTTTGGGGTAGTTCTGAAACTTTGTAAAAATATGTGGTTTTCCTGCCTAGGGATGATTGAGTTATTACATTATCTACCAGACAGAGGGGAGGGCTTGTGCATACTGTATGGGAGTGTCTCCATGTACAACACTGTTTCATTGGCTTGTGAACTTTATGTCCCTGTGCCCACCTGGGTGTCGCCCTTGTTGGGAAAATCACATAAGAGGCCAATGTACCTCCATTAAAACCAGTTATTCCCCCAGAGCTGAGTGTCATCCAGTTACTGGGGAGGTGTTGGGAGAATCTTGGCTTACTTTGCTGTGTTTTGGCTGTTCCCTGAGTACATCTTGGAATAACCAGCGGAGGAGAGTCCCTGCTAGGACTATCCCATGAGTAGGAACTTAAGAGTGTTAGTGTGCTTTATAATGAGGGTCTAGGGTTATGCAATCACCATATGTTGTGTTGCATAAGTGAAATAGAGGCTACATAGCATTGCTAAGCAGCATGTGTGGGCATTTGTGTTGAGGATATTGGGGCTGCCCTTGGTGGGGAATATTGGGACATGATGTGGCATAGTTATATTGTGCTTGCCTCCAACATCCTATGGGTTTGTGTCAAGGTTCTCATTGTGACAATCCAGACAGCCAGACGTGGTCGCCACAGAAATGTCCAACATGGGGATTTGAACCTTATGCATCCCAAGCCTGCATTCCTGCCTCTAAGCCACTATTCAGTTCATGTTTTAACAATTCACTATTCAGTTCAGAATTACCAATTTTTGTGTAGCCTGATTTTTTTTTTCAAAAAGTGAAAAATAAGTGTTATTGTGAACGCTTCATATACAGAACAAAGCATATACATTTCTATATTGTGTAAAGACACAACTACAAAGTTAAAAACCAAACACCAAAACAACGTGCCAGACAATCTACCTGTGCATGGCTAGTGTGATACAATAAGTCTACATCTTAAAAATGCAATAACCCACAGAAGATGGGCGAGAATTATTTTTGCAAATGGAACTTTGATTCGAATTTGCTACATCGGTCACTTGTAATATTGTTTCACACCTACAACACTTGTTACACAGATCTACGTGAAAGAAAACAGATTGATATTTTCTACACTAGAAACTACCAGATAACAAGCTGCTATATTTAAACCAGTGATCAATAGCTAAGAGGTACTTCAATACCCTCACAAGTCAAACTGAAAGGTCAGTTTATAGGGAAAACTGTTGCCTGGAGGAAATTCTAAAACAATTTACATATGTCATTTGCAGACTTTACATGCTGGAAAAACACAGGAGCCAACTGCTGTGGCTTTCTGCAGTGTGTATACCGGCAAGGAGGGCAGGGTTGAGGAGGATGATGAGGTCCTAGACCCCACATGGAGTCAAGGTCATGCGAGTGACGTGTGCAGTTTGGAGGAAGAGGCGCTGGTCACACAGAGGCACCAGCATAGCATAAAAGGGAGCAGGGTGCAAAAGCAGAGCTCATCGGCATGTATTAGCGCGAGAATTACCAGTTATCCAAGTAATACATGTAGCGATTAAAGGATCCATAATAGACTTGAGCGAACCCAAACTGCAAAGTTCGGATTCGTACCAGCATTTGTGCGACCACATTCCAGGACCCTGATACCAGAATCCATCACCAGACTGATCTGCAACTTGGAACAGGATGTGACATTCACTGTAGCGGCTGTGCATGCTTTTGGCGTTGTCACCCTGCTGCTGCTCGCCTGTCTGCGCTGCAGCATAATTTCGGCCTTCCCGCTCACCACCTTATGAGACTGTGCGAGCAGCAGGCGATAGTGGAGTTTCAGCTGCAGCACGCATGGGTCAGTGGCTCTGCACCAGACTTCCCTCCAATTGATCAGAGTTAAAGGATTTCAAACGGACTCATTACAATTACAGGGCCTCTAAAGAATCCTGTATTGTTATTTGTTGTCACTATCTTCCCGCATCGGGAGTGGGTAATTTGCGCACCTGCTGCCTTCCTTGCATGTGGTAGCCGTTTCTCAGGGTCCCTGTACGGAATGGAACCCTGATTCCCCGTTACCCGTGGTCACCATGATAGGCACAGAAACTGGCATTGAAAGTTGATATGGATGACATCCGCATGCAAAGTCGCCGCTACGGGAATGTACTATTTGCCCAAGGTTCTCTAGAGTCAACAAAGTTCCTGCGCAACTATAATGTCAACAGCTACTCTGCGGAACAGAGTTGTCTTTTTTTATTATTCCCACGACTGCGGTGATCCAGGTCATCTAGGTGTCTGTGTAATGACGCTATTGTTTGTGCTTGAGAGTCAATCTGCACTGCGAGATTTGTGAGTTGGGCCTGTGTAACTTCCTTTTCTTCCTCTAGGTCCAAGACCCAGCCTGTTACCTGTTGGATGTCCGCCTCCAGTGTTTCCACTTTCGCTTGGAAGGCAGTCTCCAGTTTCCCTAGTATATCAGCTAGGTCTGCTTTTGAAGGTAAGTTTAGGAGAAGTTCAGCTTATGATCTGTGTTTGGTGATCTGTTCGAGCCTTATGATGGTCAAGTTCGAGCCCGAATAGGCCTTTTGTGTACATAGAAAAAGTGTTAGATCATTGAGTTCAGCTCATAAAAAATAGGGGCAAAAACAAAAGTGTTGCATTTATAATTTTGTTTAGTGCACTATGTTTGATTTAATGTCTTATTTTCCATATGCGTATACTTATTGATGGATACAGAATTTGTTTGCCCCATTTTCCCAATTTTCTTGAATTTGTTTGCCCCATTTTCCCAATCTTACAGTTGTTGTTTTTTTACTTAAAATCATTTTTAAAAGTTAATAAAAACTATTTGAAAATATTTTTATTATTTCATTACTTTTTTTATTAAGACGAAATATGAGATACACCACTTATTAAACATATACCTTCAGTTTTAATATTTAAGAAAAATAAGAAATCTAATCCAAGTAGACTGAATTTGTAAATTATATAAAGCAAATAACTACCATGGGAATTTTGAAAATGCCAGATCAGGAAAAGAAATAAAATATACTGAACATAATCATTTGTGCCGTCACTGATTTTGAAGTATCTTACACTTGGGATTTGCATTCCTTTTTAGTAATCCCAGACACAAAACTCAATTATATAAGCTTTAAGTTTACAGTGATTGAAGATCCAGAAAAGTTTATTTTTTTTATAAAAGAAGACTTTTTAAACACCTTTTATTGTGCAGTTTAGTTTTCATTTTATTTTTGTCAGGAGTAGGGATATATAAAAGTCTTTTTTTACTCTATATTACTAACTTACTATGTATTTGAAGATTATATGTGTTCCTTTTTTAAAAAAAAAACTCAATATCATGATATCATGCTATTGTATGTAGTAAAAAAAATATATACAGAAAATTGAGCACGTAGCACAAATCTTTAGGATCTGAATTTCAATGGCTAGGCTCAACATACAAAGGTAGGAAAAACAGCAATTTCCATCATATAGATAAAAGCATGTAAAAACAAACATTTTAATTGTTTTATTATTTGTTCATACTTAAATGAACACTGCAAGAACCACAATAATTTCAGCCTACGGTAGTGGTTATGGTGCCTGGAGTATCGAGGTTACCTCCGTGAATAAATAGTCAAACCCAGTGGCGTACACATGACCCATGGGGCCCCGGTGCAAAAATTGATCCGTGAGCCCCCGCCCCCTCCCCCCCGCGCTTACTCAGCCCAGGTCGGGGTCGCAACACATGGTGGCGGGCACCTGGTCGCAGGGGTTGCAGGGCTGCGACCCCGCGACCGCGGTATGCACACACACTTAAAGGACCACTACAGACACCCAGATCACATCAGCTCAATGAAGTGGTCTGGGTGCCAGGTCCCTCTAGTTTTAACCCTGCAGCTGAAAACATAGCAGTTTCAGAGAAACAGCTATGTTTCACTGAGGGTTAATCCAGCCTCTGGTGGCTGTCTCATTGACAGCTGCTAGAGGAGCTTCCGCGATTCTCACTGTGAAAATCACAGTGAGAAGACACTGAACGTCCATAGGAAAGCATTGAGTAATGCTTTCCTATGGGCGGTTTAAATGCGCGCGCGCCTCTTGCCGCGCATGTGCATTTCGGAGCTCAGAGGCGGACACTGGGGAGTCCGACGCTGGAGAAAGGTAAATGCTGAAGACACACACACACACTCCCACGAACAGACGCATACAGACTAGCTAACAGACACACACATTTACTGACAGAGACACACTCAGCGACAGACATACATACACACTCACTTACAAAACATACACTTTCACTGACAAACACACACTCACTAACAGACATCAAACACACTCACTAGCAGATACACACCCAATAACAGACACATTCACTGACACACACACACTAGCACACACACTAACACAAACACTGACACACACACACTAACACACGCTAACACACATACACTAACACACACACATACACTAACACACACATACACTAACACACACACACATACACTAACACACACATACGCTTTTTTTTCCAGATTTAATCCCCCCAGCCTCCTTACCTTTTGGAGTGCTGGGGGGATTCCCTGGGGTCCAGTGGTGCTGCTGCTGGGCTCCTGGGCAGCAGGTCACTGGGTGGGCGGGCTGTCTGTGTGGGCGGCGCGTGAGGGAGCACTTTCCCCTGTGTGCTTCCTCTTCAGCTCCCTCACGCGCCGCGTAGGGATGCCGGCGCCGGAAGATGACATCATCTTCCGGCTCCGGCATCAGTGCGGTGCGCGAGGGAGCTGAAGAGGAAGCACACAGGGGAAAGTGCTCCCTCCCGCGCCGCCCGCCCAGACAGCCCGCCTACCTGCCCGCTGGGGTCAGCGGGGTCAGCAGGGCCAGCCTCGGAGGGGCTTGAGGTGGCCACCTCCTGGGTCCCCCAGGGGAAGAGGCTGGCCCTGTGGCGTACATACCGGGTCGCAGGGGCGGCCGGGCCCCCTGGTGGGCCGGGCCCGGTCGCAGCCGCGACCCCTGCGACCCTGATATGTACGCCACTGGTCAAACCATTTAAGAACAGTTTGATAATTACTCTCTTTGTCTGCTGCTACTTCATAGATAACGGAAACTCATTGCAGAAACTTTCAGAAGCAGATGAGAGAGTAGGTGGTGCCCAAAGATCCGGGCGATTGTCAAATGTTTCTTAAATATTTATTTACTCTGGGAGGTCACCAGGACACTTGTGGTACCATAACCACTTCTGCAGACTGAAGTTGATATGGTGCTTGGAGTGTTCCTTGAAAGGCATTTGCCAGTAACCTGATGTAATTTTTGTGACGGTAGCGTTCTAAAAATGCCACTAGATTGTTAAAATATTATCTGAATGTGAGCATCAAAAAAATTAAAGTCTTTCAATCGGAGCAAAATTACTCCTTAAAAAATCATGGAAACCTGAATGACATTTGCTTTTTACTACCGTATATACTCGAGTATAAGCCGACCCGAATATAAGCCGAGGCCCCTAATTTTACCCCCAAAAACTGGGAAAACTTATTGACTCGAGTATAAGCCTAGGGTGGGAAATGCAGTAGCTACTGGTAAATTTCTAAATAAAATTAGATCCCAATAAAATTACATTAATTGAATATTTATTTACAGTGTGTGTATATAATGAATGCAGAGTGTGTGTTTGTGTGTGTATATAAGAAATGCAGTGTGTGTTTGTGTGTGTATATACTGAATGCAGAGTGTGTGTTTGTGTGTGTATATAATGAATGCAGAGTGTGTTTGTGTGTGTATATAATGAATGCAGTGTGTGTGTTTGTGTGTTGTGTGTGTATATAATGAATGCAGTGTGTATATAATGCAGTGTGTGTTTGTGTGAATGCAGTGTGTGTGTTTGTGCAGTGTGTGTAAACTGGGTGAGAGGAGGGCATTTTTATTTTTTATTTTAATATTATTATTTTAATATTATATTATTTTAATATTATTATTTTATTTTAATATTATTATTTTATTATTATATTATTATTATTTTAATATTTGCATTTTTATTTTTTTTATGGTTTTTTGTCCCCCCTCCCTGGCCAGGCAACAAGCAGGGAGGGGGGACAAAAAAACATTTGAAAAAAAATAATGCAAATATTAAAATAATAATAATATAATAATAAAATAATAATATTAAAATAAAATAATAATATTGAATCCCTGGTGGTCCAGTGGATGGGCTGTGCAGTGGGGGGTCTGGCAGTGAGTTGTTACTTACCTTCCTGCAGCTCCTGTCAGCTCCCTTCTCCTCCGTGCAGCTCGCAAGACTTACACTGTGAGCAGAACGGAGCTGACAGGGGAGTTGCACGGAGGAGAAGGGAGCTGACAGGAGCTGCAGGAAGGTAAGTAACAGCTCGCTGTCAGCCCCCAACAGGACCGCCGGGCTTGTAATGAGCCCGGTGGTCCTGATCTGTATTATGGCAATGTAAGTTGCCATAATACAGATCTTGACTCGAGTATAGGCAGAGTGGGGGTTTTTCAGCACAAAAAATGTGCCGAAAAACTCGGCTTATACTTGAGTATATACGGTACTTTGCATTGCGGCTTCCTTAATTTAAAAAATGACTTCCAGTCAAATTAACCCTTCCAGTTCTGCAGTGGAGAGGTGCACAATCCACTGCTCTCTTCTGTGACACTTACATGTAAATTAAACCTTTTTAAAAAAGACATGCTTAGTTGTGTGACACCCAGTGGCGTACCACGATCCATGTGGCCCGGTGCGAAAATTGATCTGTGGGCCCCCCCCCGGCTCTTACTCTGGCGCCTGGACCGCGGTATGCCTGCCAGTGCATGCAGATACACATACATTTTAAGGACCACTGTAGGCACTCAGATCACTTCAGTTCAATGAAGTGGTCTGGGTGCCAGGTCCCTCAAGTTTTAACCCTGCAGCTGAAAACAGCAGTTTCAGAGAAACTGCTATGTTTTACTGAAGGTTAATCCAGCCTCTAGTAACTGTCTCAATGACAGCCGCTAGAGGCGCTTCCGCGATTCTCACTGTGAAAATCACAATGAGAAGACGCTGGATGTCCATAGGAAAGCAATGAGTAATGCTTTCCTATGGGCGGTTTGAATGCGCACGCGGCTTTTGCCGTGCATGCGCATTCAGAGCTGAGAGGCGGATCAGGGCGGAGAGATCCCCAGTGCCAAGGGAGCCCGGCACTGGAGAAAGGTAAGTGCTGAAGGGCTTTTAACCACACACAGGAGAAGAGGCTGGAAAAATGTGGCCACACTGGCGTACATACCGGGTCGCAGGGC